GCATGGCGTTCCACACATAACGACAGTCACTATGTCCTGTGGAGGAACAGCTTTGATAATTACAAAAGAGCTCTGAAACATGCAAAAACAACTTATTACTCAGAGTTAATAGACAAAAATAAGAGCAATCCCAGGTTCCTTTTCAGCACTGTAGCCAGGCTGACAGAGAGCCAAAATGTAATCAACCCAAAAATACCTCTATCTCTGCGTAGTAACGACTTTTTAACATTTTTTAATGACAAAATAGATAAAATCAGAGATAAAATTAATCACCTCCTTCCTCCACACATGACCAAAATGCAGTTTAGCATGAATAACCTAGACACAATGGTGACTCCAATCTTACAATTAAATGAATTTAACCCTTTAAATCTCCCCGAGCTAAGGTCTCTGGTCTCCGCTGCTAAATCAACCACCTGTCAGCTGGATCCTATACCAGCTAGACTAGTTAAAGAGTCCCTTCCCCAAATAGGTCACATAATATTACAACAAATAAATATGTCCCTACTGAGTGGCTGTGTCCCAGAGGCATTCAAAATAGCAGTAATTAAACCATTACTTAAAAAGCCTTCTCTGGACGCTGGCACTCTAGCTAATTATAGGCCCATTTCAAATTTACCTTTTATTTCTAAAATCTTAGAAAAAGCTGTCGCTTCCCAATTGTGTGATCATCTGCATGACAATAATCTATTTGAAAAATTTCAATCTGGGTTTAGAACCCATCATAGCACAGAGACTGCACTATTGAGAGTACAAAATGATGTTCTCGTGGCCTCTGATAAGGGACTGGCGTCTATCCTGGTCCTTCTGGATCTCAGCGCAGCGTTCGACACAATTGACCGTGAGATCCTGTTACATAGGCTGGAAAAAGATGTCGGGATTAAAGGATCAGCACTTGCCTGGTTCAAATCCTATTTGTCGAACAGGTTTCAATTTGTTAACGTAAATGAGGAATCCTCCATACTCACTAAAGTGAACTATGGAGTTCCTCAGGGTTCCGTGCTTGGCCCAATTCTTTTCACTTTGTACATGCTGCCACTAGGCAACATCATCAGGAAGCACAACATAAACTTTCATTGCTATGCAGATGACACCCAATTGTATGTATCGGTACGGCCAGATGACCCAAACCCCTTAATTAAAATCCAAGATTGTCTTAGAGACATTCTGACATGGATGACCCAGAATTTTCTAATGCTTAACACAGAAAAAACTGAGGTCATAGTTTTAGGGCCTAAACATATAAGAGCACCATTGTCAAATCTAACTATAACCATAGGTAGTTCTACCCCAGTCCCCTGTGGTAAAGCAAGGAACCTGGGTGTCCTGTTTGATCAGGATTTATCACTACAAAAACATATTAACCAAACCTGTAGAACAGCCTTCTACCACCTACGTAACATTAAATCCATTAGAAAAATGTTATCACGACCAGATTCTGAAAAACTAATCCATGCCTTTATAACCTCCAGGCTGGATTATTGCAATTCGCTACTATCAGGATGTCCCAATAAGTCCTTAAGAAGCCTTCAACTGGTCCAGAATGCGGCAGCACGCATACTGACCGGAACTAGAAGACGAGAACATATAACCCCCGTCTTGGCTTCAATACACTGGCTCCCAGTAAAAAGTAGAATAGACTTTAAAATACTTTTAATCACATACAAGGCCCTAAATAATCAAGCCCCATTATACATTTGTGATTTAATTACCCCATACAAACCAAATAGATCACTGCGCTCCCAAAATTCGAATCTATTGGTCATCCCTAAAATAAATAAAAATAGAACGGGTGGTAGAACTTTTAGTTACCAGGCTCCTCTCCTGTGGAACCAGCTCCCACTCTCAGTAAGAGAGTCAGATTCTGTCTCGTCCTTTAAAGTGAGACTCAAAACCCATTTGTATAGTATAGCCTATAGCCTAAATTAGATTAAACATGCCCCGACTAGAACAGTCTAAAAAGATGCTGCTATAGGCCTAGACTGCTGGGGGGCATTGCATTGCATTGCATTTCATTTCATTTCACTTCATCTTGCACTTATAATGAGGACACAGACTCTACGGTCTTACTTTATTCTTCTGTCCTGTCCTATATTCATACCGACCACCATGTATACACTTAGGAAACTGGTCCCACTCTTTTACAGTTCTGCTGCCACCGGTGAACAGGAGGAGCACAGGACTACTGCCACTACCACTACTGCAGCTTTTTTTTCTTCATTGGTTTTTATGTATTTGTACAATGTATGTTCTGATAACATCTATTGCACGTCTGTCCGTCCAGGGAGTGGATCCGTCACCTGTGGTTCTCCCTAAGGTTTCTACCTTTCTCTTTTCTCCCTGTTGAAAGGGTTTCTCTTTCGGTAGTTTTTCCTTACCCTGGCTGACGGTCTAAGGACAGAGGATGTTACCAACCCTGTGAAGCCCCATGTGACAAACTGTATTTTGTAAATGTGGGCTATATAAATAAAATTTGATTGATTTGATTTGATTGACAGTGTTAACTGGTAGGATACACATCTGGTCCGTGCTTATCTGGTCTTTACTGTAATTTCCTTCATCAACCTGCAATAGGCCTGTTCCAATACTCCACTGCTGAGCTTCTCCAGCTTCGCCCCCGCCCGTCTGCACCCCCACCGGCTGCATCACCCCTCCTCCTGGACATTACTTTCCTCCCCCGCCGGATATATATCCACCGTGGGGATCGCCGGAACACCCATGAAGACACCTCGAAAACAATAAAGTCCATCTGGTCGGTTTTTTCCTACCCGAGTTAACTGCGCATGCGTATATCTGCTAATTTGCCGCTGCAGACAAGCCATAGTTTTCTGCTACCCGACCGTTAAACAAGGTCAGTTTCTTATATATTTAATACTTTATATGACCGGTATGCAATGCATCGGTTTGACAGTCAAATTATTTCAACTTGCCACGTGCATGAGATTGTGTCTGAATAGCTAATACTGCGAATTATCGTCATTTTCATGTAGTCATAAAACTTGCTCATGTAGCCTGCGAACTTACGTGTATACAATTCGAATGTCTAATAGCGCTGTGATTTTCCAACTGTTTTAAAACAATCTTAACAACCTTACTAAATTAGTTCAGGGTTTACAGTATTGCATAAGCTCGTTTACAAGTGGATGGAAACCAACTTGGATTGAAGTGTATGGGCCCCTGACATTTTTC